CTGAAATAGTCTCTGTAGAACTGTTTGGAAATACTAACTTTATATGTACATGTCTTAGTGGTGGGGATAGGTATATTCTGAAAGATAAACAATTAATGCCCTTAGTTTTCCAAGTGCAAGGCTCATTATTTCTGTGACAGTAATTGAAGGCCTCGCAAGCCTGCAGAGCACACATTCTTTAGCTTAGTTGTAAAATCAGAAGCTCTTGCATGAAGTCATGGAAGTGTCCTGAAACACTGCCAACGAGTCTTTCAATTATTTTCTTAAATGCATTTATCTGCCACGCTGGAGGTTATTCATTTTCTGAAAATAGACATTTAAAGAAGGGAAAACGTGAAGGTCCGAGTACCGTTATTCGTAGTCTTCAGATTTGCAATACCTGAGCTGTAGGAAGCGCAGCCTGTAAGAGCAGTAGACTGTGTGCCTTGACGATTAATGCTCCTAGATCTTTGTTTGATGGAGTATAAGTGTTTCAAAGGGTAGATGATACACAGGGAAGATTATCTGGGGAACATTGCCTTTTCTGCTAGCTACGTTAGTATGATATGCAGCAGTGTGAAAGGCATTACTATTCTAAATGGGAGAGAGAAGCGATAAGCCTGTTTAATTCAACATGTATGATTGTCACAAACCCCTTAATCAGTTGCTTCTCATCTTGCATTCTTTGCTTAATTTCTTGGCTTTGAAATAATTTTCACGTGAATGCTGCCTAATATGTGAATGTTTGCTCTGAGCATTAAACTCTTTTTTCTAAGTACAGCATCTCTAAGAACTCTACTAAAAAGTCAAGTATAGGTTAGTATAAGGCAACATTTTTAAAAAGTACTCAAGCATTGGTTTGAAATTGGGCATTGTTTAATCACTTTAAATCAAGGCTTTTAGGAGTCAGACTCACTTTAGAATTGGGTGCTAGAAAAGGGACTCACACAACTGCAGAAATGAAAAATCAAGAGATGAGTAAGTGCTGCAGTGCAGCCACTTCTCATTGGGTCCATTAAGAAATCTTCAGTGGAAGACTATTTAAAGGTGCAATTTCTAAAAGGATGGTGTTCCTTATATACAGTAGCGAGCACGTGTTTCTCCTGGCGTAATGACACAAGATGGGACTAATGAATCCTATATAGGTACACAGTTTATAGTTTGCAAAAAGGTTTGACAGATTGAACTTGTTGTCTTTAAGAAATCCTGTCTTAAGAAAGATGACCTTTGCTTCTGTCTCATTAGCTCTGAGTTTATATTCTGAAAGCACAAGGTGACACTATGACAGCACAGTGAGAACCTCCAGAGAGCAGCCAAAGAGACTTTCATGCTCTGTTCCTTATGATTTGTGACTGGTTTCAGCCTTCTTCAGTGATTTGTTAAAGCTGAAGAACCCATTTTTGGCTTGTACGTTAAATGCCAAGTTTGGTACATAAGCGTGTGACAAGTTTGAGACTTGACCCTGTAGCGAAGCAAATGAGTTTCAGGGTAGAAGCCAGGAGGTTGCAGTAACCAGTTGTTCAGTGGAATTTGTGAAGATTTCCTTTCTTAATTATAAGCACCCAACTCGGCCTTTCACTTGAAGTATGAAATTTGCTCATCAAATGAGAGACTTTAGAGCCAAATGCTGCTGTTTTTTTCCATCGCTGTTAGGTCTGAAAATGCCGGCGGAAGGCAGTGGAGCTGTGGTTCTTTCTAAGTAGCCAGTGTTGAGGGGCAGCCCTTCTTCATTTCACACCATCTTCCCCGGATCCCTCACAGACTTGGTGAGGTGCTCCGGAGATGACAGGGATGGCATCCTCTGGCCTTCCCACCTAGAATCAGGTGGGCAGAAGTAGAAGTGCAGTTAATTCTGACTTTGTGTGGCGAATTAGAGGTTTGTCTGTAAATATCAAATGAGTTGCCATTAATCTAAGGTTACTTTTATTATTTTTTAATGTGAAGATTATTGATTTCCATTGCTTATTTTCTTTTGACATTGCGTGGCTAAGTAATGGATGCAATTAATTGCACGGGCAGAGGGATTGTGCTATTAAAGGGCGGTAGGAGAGCAGTATGGTTTATTTTTTCATTACATTTTATATCCTGAAACCTGTTGTGTATATAAAATGCATCGACAGCTGTAATATTGTTTTAATGAATTTGAAAACATGGTAGTTTTATGTTCCCTGAACCTCTCCCCCTCATCCTCCCAGTCCATCTATTTCCAAATATTTAAATGAAGAATCTTGCTACCGAGGCTTAGACAAACTGATGATATATCTTGTTTCTGTCCTTCATTTTCCAGTAAAAGAAATACCACCATTTGGCACTAATGGGTTGACTAGGTCCGTTCTTACAGCCTGAGCAGCTTTTGGGGAAAGATCATTGGGAAAAGTGAAGTAAAGCTCATTATTTCCTGTAGAAATGTTGACTCTGATTTGTGTCACAACCTTTACTTACTTTATTTGAGTTCTTTTTGCGCATAATTTACATATAAACTGTGTAGAAGAGCCTTATACGCTAGATAAATTTTATTGTTTCAAGTCATGGAACGCTTTTTTCTAATAAATTGCGTTCTGAATGAAAACAAATGTCAGCCAGGGAAGAGTTTATTAGCGGAATGGTTCTGTTAGATGTAGTGTAGATACATAGTGATGTAAATGCATGTGCATGTTTATTGGGAAGAGTTTGAGTCTGTATTCATTTTCTTGGAAATGTGGTACTGTGCCTTTCTGACGCCTTCATAAATACATTATATCCTCACTGAATATATAGTTCTTATTTATATGTAAACTACTTTCAAAGTTAATCTATAATGTAAAAACCCCTTTAATTTAAGAATAGCACAAGAAACAAAACCTACAGGTTTTCATTTCTGAATTCAGGTTATGATGCTGTTTAGTTAAGATTTTTGTGGGGGGGAAAAACCAATCAAAAACTATACTTTTCTCATCAAATGAAAATCACGAATGTCATTTTTGGTTTAAAAAAGAAATCAGATTTTTGTATTTGAAAAAGAAGAGGAAGGCACTACCTGATTAACAATCCTAAGGCAGCAGAAAGCTTACATGTGAAGAGAAGTAATTTTGTTCCAGGCCTGCAGGCAGGAAAAGAGATTCCCTTTCTTGCTGGCAGTGGATCCCAACTTGTGCGGTGGGTTGTGGAGGGGATGAAGTACAGATGCTGCATGTGCAGGTAACTGTGAAAATGAAGCTTGGCTCAGTGAACTTTGGGGAGCAATTCAGCACTAAGGGGGAAAGGGATGAAAAGCCTTACTTGACCACAGGGTCTCTGGAATTAATTGGTGATTTCCAATGAAGCTGTGTTGTTTTTAGACCAACTGTGGGTGAGCACAGTGTAGGTTGTTGGCGTCCTATGGCAGTGCAATGGTGGAGACGCTGAATTTGTCTTTTAAAACACATTTAATGCTTACATTTGCAAGATAGTTTCCAGTTTTACTGGTCCAAGTCTTAGAGCGTAGAAATTGCAAAGTTGGAATTCGTAGAGTCTGGTTTTGAATATGCTGGTTCCTAGCACTCTGTAATTGGTTCTTCATATGTAAAATCATTGTCAACTTGATAGATGTCAGCACCGTAGAGGCGTCGATGAGTGGATATTGGTACAACACAATGAGATGCCCAGCTGAAAAGCAAATTCTGTGTGTGGAGATGTATGCCTTCATCTTCAGTGTTTCCTTTACTGCCAGGGGAACTTCCTCTGCATTGAATTACTATGTAGCCTTAATTCTCAGAATATTTACAACTAGCTTTGGAAGAGTAACTAGACACTTTGAGTTCCTGTTTTCTTTAATCTGTTTTCTGGCTTTTTTTTTTTTTTTTTTGGATGGGGAAGGTGGAGGTTGATTTGGATTTGAGGTGGGGATGGGAGATTTTGTTTGGATTTGTTTCTCTCTCTTCGTACACTATGCTAAATGCTTATGATGATTAAAAGAAGAAGTTGAAAATACCAGTGCTGTGATTAAGCCTGTCAGGCCCAAGATCAAGAGAAGCAGCAATAGAATTAATGTCAGTACTCAGGCGAAATGCAGCACCACTTCACTAGGCATTGACTTTGGGTTTCACATCTGGTGGCTGCCCCTGGACATGCACAGCTATCGGCTGCAGTCTTGTCAGTGGCCAAAAGATGTTGGAAAAATCAGTGGTCCTCTATAGCCTGTAACAGCCGGTGATGCATCATTCATGGGGAAAATGGCAAGATGAATCTTTGCCGCAAGGGAGGGGTGATGAGGTGATCCAAATAATTCTTTAGCACAAAATAAAGCAGTAATGACTTTCAAGGTCAGTTGTGCTTAGTTGAGGAAGGGCGCTCCTGAGTTATCATACATTGAACGTCCAAAATCCGAAAGGAAGAATTCGCAGCTATTGATAACGCCTCAGCGAAGCTGACTGACCCTGAGTGCCTGCCACTTTGCATCTGCCAGAGGTCCTGTGGACACATTAGCAGGAGCCTGTCAAGAAGCTGCTTTGCTTAGACTTGCGGAATTATTAGACGTGGTAAGATAATGAAGCAAAAAAATTCCAGAATAAAACTGCCTCTGTGCTGGTGGCAGGCATAAAGATTTCTGACCTTCTCAAGGTTGTTCTCATTTTATTTACCTCTTAATTAGCTCTCAGCCGTGTGAAACTGAAGAAAAATGAAAATAATCTTTTTTTTTTTTTTAATGTACTTAGCTCGTGCTGAAGACGGGCAACACATTGGGTTTGTTTTCTAATGCTCCTCTTGGCACTTACTCCGTCTGTGACCTTGAACAAACTGTTTATTCCCTCTGTATCCTCCTGTGTAAATAAAGTAATTTCTGTAATTTTGTAGATT